CTAAAAGGCCACATAAATTACAGCAGAAAGTCGATGTAAGAGTTGCGGTCGAGCAAGTGCTGTTTAAAATTTACATCAAGTAAAGTAATAAACCCGTAAAAGGTTTATGATCGGTCGGCAGTCTGAGCAGTCGAACAGACCCATTAATTTAGTGGAAAACATAAGTGAAATTCATGAAATTGTGTAGAGTCAACATAAAAAATATCACGCGTCGTCGCAAATAAAATAAAAATATCAAAAATTAAGAAAACTGTGTGCCTGTAAAAACCCAGAATAAGGTTCCTCTATTTAATTAACAGCAGAAGAGGGTGGCTATAAAAAACGGGAGTGAAAGGACTTGGCCATAGTAATTTTCGTATAAATAACAAATAGTTAAATGTACTTTACTCTTTGTTTAGCGTTTTATAATAATTTCTGAAATATTTAGTATGTTTGACAGCTATACTGGTACAAGCATGTGCTTTGTCACTCGCGAAATAAATAAATGCTGTAAAATACTTCCTTACTCCCTGACCGCAAAACTGGGCACTGGGCAGGTGGGACGGAACTGCGGATTGGGACGGATGGAAATTCTGATCAGCTGGGTTAAGGGTGATGTTGCTGGTTTTGCTGCACAGCGGAAGTAAAAGCGACCGGCTAATTGGGCATCATGCGCATCAGGGGCTGCATGGACTCCAGGGTATCGAAATAGCCCGAAAAAGGATAAACTGCTGCATCGGTTGCCGCTGCATCATCCCCGGCTGTCCCCGCATGCCCTTCATGCGGCTAGATAGGTATCATCACGGACCGCTGCTGTCTTTGCATCCCGGGATTATTAATATCCCATAACCTACACCGTATATACATCATAAGAAAGCTGCTGTTGGAAATAGCCGGCACCGCATTTCCCTTTCGTATGTAACGTTTACGTTTCATGTTTCGAATTAAACAGTAGAAGGCAGTTAACTATAAGAAAATCATGATGGCCCGTTTCTTACAGCCTCCATTTTCTGCTATTAATTAACTAGAGCAACCCCATTCTAGGCTTTTACAGACACGAAGTTTTTTTAAAATAATTTTAATTTATTTAGAACAATGCGTGATATTTTTTATTTTGGTTCTGCACCAATTCATGAATTTTACTTATGCTTTTCACTTCTTAATGGCTCTTTTCGACTGATCAGATGACATTTACCGTAAATGGAGTTATTATTTTCACTTGGTGTCAATTTTGATTTGAACTTGCTCGGCCGCCACTCTTACATCGGCTTTCTGCTATAATTATCGTGATTTTCGTGAACTTTTCCGCGTCGGAAGCGATCACATCAACGAACACGTTAAATCTTTATCACCAATTTGGTTTAGGACGGTATGTAACATTTCTTCTGTTCTCCCTACACGTTCGATAGATTCCGCTTCGTTTCGAATTTTTGCGAAGTCGGTAACACTGACCGCCTTACCCATATATATCAGTGCTCATTTCACGTGTTTGGCTTTCAGAAACATAGATTTTTAAAGGTGTATCTAACGTGTAGAATACTCATACAAGTTTTTATCGTCGTACAAGTACTTTGTGATAAATCTGACAATAGAATATCTTCGGACTGCCTACAGAATATCTTCGAACCCACTGTAGCTCCAGCAAGCAGTACGCTCCAGAAAACTGCTCGATCTTTGATGTATCGGTGACCGTAACTGATTTTTCTTATAATTTTTCTTGTCTTGACTAAAAAATAAAAATAGCTTGTTAAAAATCATTAAAAGTGAACATTTGTCGTTGGCGGGTTTGGTAAAAAATTTTTGTAGTGGTCAGCGAGTCAAAAACCATCCAGATGGCGTTTTTTCTGTATGAATTTTGCGGAATCCGTTCTCCCATGTTTTTTTACAAAAGAAAACGTTTTTTTGCAAACTGAAATGGAAGGAGTTTCAACTGATCGACCAGCTTCATAACACAGAATACGAAACGTAAATCGAACTTTGAAATACTCGATATTTAACGGGCGAGCTCTAACAATACGCATTAGGTTGGAAACTTATTAGCAGATGGCACCGCCCTTAGCACACTAGGCAGGAACAGCAGGGTGGAACAACAGGGTGGAACAACAGGGTGGAACAGCAGGGTGGAACAGAAGGGGCGATCAGGAGGGGTGGAACACTAGGCTAGAACAGATGGGTGGAACAGGAGGGTGGAACACCAGGGTTGAACACCAGGGAGGAACAGGAGAGAAATACAAGCCAGACCGGTGAATAAGCTGTCGGTACACAAAACAGTTTCAGCGAAGCGGCGGGCAGCAAAATCATCGAAAAGCGATCTGTCGGTTAACTACCTGTCGGCCAGCAGGTTGTGTGAATAAGTAATATGTAGGTCAGAAAATAGTAGTGCAGCAAAACAGAGAATTATATAATATATAGATATGCTTACGCAGTCATATGGTATATCTGTCTATACACTATACAGTACAAATAGATATGCTTAAATAAACGTGCACATAAATATTTGTACATATATGTAAATAAGAGAATATAATTATATGTATCATAAATATATGTATCCTATATGTACACAAAAATTATATGAGCGTAGAAAGTTGTATTACATAGCCTATTTTATATACGTACACAGATGTACGTTAAGTTCAAAAGCTGTGCGTTAGCCAAGACAACCTACCGCAGAAGCGCACCCCTCCCCCCGCCCAGCCGGCCGAGCGTGGGCGGAAGGGCGCGTACACCTGCACCTTCTTGGGCTCCTTACTGGGCAGCGGCACCATCACGAAGTCGTTCTGGTGCGTAGTGCGCCCCGTGGGAACGTCTGCGTAGCGGCAGCCAGCGATAGCCGGCTTGCAACTGTCGGCCGGCTTCGCGGGGATGCCCTGCAGTTTTGCAGTAGTGGCGGTCAAGGAATGGACTCACTGACACCGAGGATGCCGGCTACCGTAGTTCTATTGATAGCACGAGCTGGCGTCCAGGGGGCACCGTGTGTGGCTCGTGAACGACCTGCGGCCGTTGGGTCTTGTCGGAGAGGGGCTTGGCGACGTAGCGGGGTCTTGTGGGTGGTCTCGACGACGAAGGGGTCGTTGGAGTGGAAGACGGCGGTGGCCGTCCTGTCGTCCGCTTCGCCCTCCGGGAAGGGCATGAAGCGCGACTGCGCATCGATGGGGCTGCCAAACTTGGCCGTGGGCAGAGAGAGAAATGGCCTTGATTGTCACCCCGACTTCCTGCCGCATCCCCGGCCAATGCTTGAAGTCCGCTACAAAGCGCATGGGCAAGCAACTTAATCTTAAGGCAGCCAGCCAAACATAATTTAGCAAACACAAAAACTCAATAAATATTCAGCCAAAGCACGCAATCGCGCAAGACAAAATAACAAAATCTCTCATCATTTATTTTCAGTTTTTCCCTTTCTGCTGTCTTCTGCTAGCACAAATAAATTTTGTTATTTTATCTTGCGCGATTGCGTGCTTCGGCTAAATATCCATTGAGTTTTTGTATTTGCTACATTATGCTTGGCTGGCTGCCTTATGATTTATCTGCTTGCGCTTTTTAGCAGACTTTAAGCATTGAACGGAGATGCGACGGGAAGTCGTGGTAACACCAGCGGCCGTTCCTCAGCCCACGACCAAATTTGGCAACACCAGCGACGCGCAGTAGCGCTCCATGCCCTTTCCGGAGGGCGAAGCTGTCGACAGCGCCAGGCCGGCCACCACCGTCTTCAACTCCTCCGACCCCTTCGCCGGGAAGACCATCCACAACGCCCGATTACGTCGCCAGGCCCCCCTCTGACAATACTCAACGGCCGCAGGTTGCCCACGGTGCCTCTTAACGCCAGCTCGTGCTATCAACAATCTTCGGTGTTAGTGAGTCCATTTCTTTACCGCCATTAGTGCAAAATTGAAGGGCCTCCCCGCGAAGCCGGCCGACACTTGTAAGCCGGTTATCGCTGGCTGCCACTACGTAGACGTCCCACGGGGCGCGCTACGCACCAGAACGAACACGTGTTTGTGCCGCTGCCCAGCAAGATGCCCAAGAAGCAGGTGTACGCGACTTGCGACGCCCCCATGGACCTGGACTCCATGACCCACACCGAATTCTTCTTCGGAAAGGACGCCCAGGTCGCGCCTGGGCGGGGGGGACTGCGCTTTTACGGTAGGTTGCCTTGGCTAACGCACAATTTTTAAACGTAACGTACATCTGTGTACGTATATAAATATAGAGTGTACACTAAAACTTATGTGTACATTTATTTATGATACATCATAGATATACATTTATTTATTTACATAAATTTACATATATACACATATTTATGTGAACGTTTATATTTATGCATGTCTGTTTTTACTGTATAGTCACTATACAGCACAATAGTTATGTTGTGTTAACCAGAAGTGACCGATGACCTGTACAGCTTTACAGTAAACAACTGTGTGGCAAAACTGTTTATGAAATTCTAATTTGGTGTTTATGAAATTCTAATTTGTTCTTGTTCAGACAACAGCGTCTTAGCTCGGACCCGTCGGAACTGGACTCGTTAACCCACGAGCAGTTCCAGGCCTACTTAACATCCGGGCGAGGCTCGCGCGCTCGCTTAATTCGGCGCGCTATCGGGGCGAAGGCCGGGAGACTGGGAGGCTGGGAGTCTGGGAGGCTGGGAGGCTGGGAGGCTGGGAGGCCGGGAGGCCGGGAGGCCGGGAGGCTGGGAGGCCGGGAGGCCGGGAGGCTGGGAGGCCGGGAGGCCGGGAGGCCGGGAGGCCGGGAGGCCGGGAGGCTGGGAGGCTTTAAACGTCGAACGTGAGGGGTTTCAACGTCGAGTCGTTTTTTCGAGAACGAAAAATGTGTTAGCCTCGAAATCAGAAGCGCGACGTTTTCTGTTTAGAGGACTCGAGCAAAAGTGAAATCAGTTCAGTTCATATATCACACCGTACAAAAACTGCCTGCTCAGAAATCGTGACGCATTTTAGTTTCGTGTGCAACACTTCAGTCTGTCAGAGCGGCGTAAAACATTTTGTCATTGGTTTGGAATTTGCAAACATTCCACACTTCTGTTGTTTTCTCTCACGTTGATTTAACAGTGTTGAATATAGTTTTTTAAAATACTTTTTTGTGGTAAGTGATCAAGAACTTCGGAGCATCGCTTGGATTCCTGCAAAAAAAAGATTCAGTAAGAGACCTTAATGTATTCGTTGTTGGAACTGCAAATAAATTTCAATACGTGAGAAGAATTAGCGTTTCGTTGGAATGTCAGTTGCAAAACATTATCAATACGTCTGCAAAGCAGGTATAACAATAATATTTGGCGTTAATTTGCAGAAAAAAGGTAAAAAGGCTTACTTAAATTCAAAGTGAAAATTTCAAAGTAATACGATCTGCTGCACCGCAACGGCTCGCCATGTGTTCTTGATTTTAATTTCCCCATTTAAATTTCTACTGTAACCCGCTTTGCGACTTGATAAAGTTTATTCAAGAAAAATCTCTCCGGTTCGCTTTTTGGTTTTTCATGCAGGTACAGAAATGGAGTCTCTATCATACAACTGGAACAGTGTGAATGTTTTGGATTCTGACGGTCGCGTTTTCCATGGCCGCGTAGTGGATGTCGCACGTGACGGGTTGTTAATCGACTTTTTTTGTGATGGGCGCCGGCAAGAACTTATACATTTCAACCGAATTTTTTTGAACGAAAAATATCTGGATGGAGTTGACCTCGCCATGAGATACGCGGCATCAGAGGAACTTCCGCCAGTTGAGATACTGGTGCGCGACAGTATGTCTGGCCCGTTGAAATGGAGTCCCGCCAAGCTGTTCAATTTATCTCGCGGCTTCGAACACCACAGTTACAATTTAGTAGCCATATACTGCGGAGAAAATGAGGAAAACGTGAAACTTGTGCCCTTGACGCACGTCCGCTGGAAGCAAGACCTTGATGCTACTACTTTCGACAACGGTAACCCCCAGAGAACTGCGAAGCAAAATCCCGTTAAGGAAGGAACTTTTAAAAAGAGAGCTTCTTTATTGCCTGGTGGCTGTTCTTCGTATTTCACAGATGCTATCCCTGCATTCAACCGTACCATCCATCCTTTACCTAGCACGGGCGTTGCGGGCATTGAAATTAGGAATGGGTGCATGATTTACCTTCAACGCAGTTTCAAAAACACGAACTCGTACCTTCAGGATATGTGGATTGAACAGGTAAACACGTGCTGCTCGGCAGCAGTTTCTGCAGGCAGTGTTTAGTTAGCTGCATACACGCTATTTATTATACAAGTATTTTTTTCTTGCTCGCTTGAATGTGTTGACACGTTTCACGAAACTTCTTCTCTTCCATTTTGAAAAGAGTGTGTCTTACTCCTTCTTGCATGAATGTGTGAATGTGTTAAATATTTCCAGGAAATTTTCAACTTATTTTCTAAAAACCTCCTGGATCACGCTCGAAGACAAGCGATCCTGAAAACAGAATCATCAGGAGCAATCTGTTTATCCAACGGAATATCCACTATTGCTTCTGATCTGCTTCTAGAGATATTGTCGCATTTGCCAACAATTGTCCAGGCAAAACTGCGTGCAGTGTGATTCAAATGGAACACAATCCTTACTTCTCCTTTGATAACACGGTTTATCAAACTATACACAATGGCTGAGGCCGAAAGGATGGAATCCCTTCGTATCTACTTCCTGTTCGCACCTTTATTCTACTGCTTTTCACCCTCAACCCAAGAAGTTATTGTTACGGATCCAGGTGGTTGGATGACTGGTAGCAGTTTGTTGCAAGCGTTTGAAGCAGTTTGCTGCTGCGCTATGTTACAAGAAGAAGAACTCAGACTGAAAAATATCCGTTTTTTTGGTGTGGAATGCCGTTTTATACACCAAAGCGGGTTTTCTTTCGACGAAAATGGATATCTGATTTCCACGCCACCTTTGGAGAATGTAGGAGATATTCGTGTTGCAGATTTAAAATCTGCGTGCGCTATTTTGCCGTGCAAGGACATTTACTGGAATAAATGTACTGCCATTTTGGACGGCGAGATATCTTTCGTTCTTGATCCACGACTGCTTGAATTGCTTGGCCTAATCCATAAAGGGACAACCAAAATGCCATGTGACCTTGGGCGCGATTTGAAGGAGAAACTCTCTGATCCCAGCGATGAACAGGTTCATCGCCTTTGCGGGTGGATTGCGGCAATTAAACTCTTTAACGATTAAGTGCAACCAAAAATTTAGTGTTTTCGAAACTAGGTGGTTTCTTTTGCAAAAAAAAACATATGTAAGCAATCTTTCTAAGTTTCCGAGAATTTGCTCTCAGGCCTTTTTCTTGTTTTATAATTCGTTCAAATACCTAATTTTCAAGTTCCGTAATTATCAGTAGCTTTTGCAACTTTAAGGTCACTGCTGCTAATAGACATCTGATCTATATCTATAATAATAACCAATATGCAATAGCAGTAGTGCACTAGATTGCTAGCACAGTTATGGGTTATATAAGGCAGGTACGTGCAATGACAGTGGAAATTTTCATATTCTGAATAAAGTCAAAAATATATAGAAAAGCGCAAGCAGAAAACCGCAAACTGGATTGTGTGAGAAATCGTAATACCATCACGTTGTTAAATAGCATACGATTTATAAAATAAGCTAATAAGCAAGAAATTATCGAAACAATATTCATACATACAACTGCAGCTTAGCATCCAACGGTCTGCCTCTAATTTCAAACGCAACCTGTAGTTTCCACTCATCTCTGAACTAACCTCAAATCTGTTCAGATTTTTATATTGATTTCCTGTCACACTTATATAAAATTATTCAAACAATGTACAAGAAATCAATAAAATCCGGCACTGCTTGTACCGAGCATCTTGAATGAGTTGGTAGGGCGCTAGCACTTGATGTACGGACTGCAGTCAAAATTGCTGTTCAGCATACACGCGGTAATATGTTGTACGCACACCCGCAACTTGCATATCGTTACTAGATTTTGTTATTGCTGCCCTTTGGTATTTATGTTGACTGCACTACGTAGATCAAGAAAGCCTTATTTGTAGCTAAGCTAAATTACACCCGTCGAAATCTCAAAATCAAATTTCTGATAAGCAAATGTTTGGTTCGTTTTAGGTATTGGACGTCGCAGGATAATACACTGCAGTTTGCAACCGCAAGTATCTAAGCAAAATTAAATTGTGCGTAATGCATGGCGCAAGCAGAGAAATCACGAAATGATTTAGCATGTATGCGTTGAAATTGTGCATTTATGCATTCGCAAGATTCATTAATTTATTGGAAATGCAATACGATTTACAGAAGGAAACTCGAATCAAACAATGCACAGGTTGTCAGTAGTAACACCAAGAACGAATTCGGCATAATTCTGCAAATTTTTTCGACAACTTAAAGTTTAACTATTTGCATGAAAGTCTTAAAGCCACAAAACGATACGTTGACCAAACACTGTAAAAAACGAAAACTCGACACGCATCTTTAAAGTTCTCGACACCAGCAGTAAAGAGTACTTGGAATTTAATTAGGTAATTCAAGTTATAGTATTTGTCAAAGTTGGTTTAGTTTGTTTCATATTTATCAAATTTTCTTCTTTAACTGTCTGAGAAAATTCGCGGAATTTTCTTTAATAATTGCAGTTCTGCTAATTGCTTGATGCAGAATTGTTTTCTTCATCAGAATCAATCTCAATCTTAAAATAATATATGTCAAACTATGTAACAAAACTATGTAACAAAACTCCCAGGTTTTGATCTTGCTCGCGCAAGGCAGCGATTTGACCACTGCCGATCGAGCGCATCTGGTATCCAATTCCCTGCGCGCGCGGGCGATCTATGGGCGCTTCTGCGGTTTTATGTGAATGCCACCCCGGCAAGCTGCTAATCTGAACTTGGCAGACGGGGACCAAGTGAATCATTTCGCGGAAAATGTTGAGTTCGGAAACAATTAACAAATAGTCAACAGCAACAAAACTACAAACGCGGAGTGTCCACCGGAATCTCCCATATGAGATTGCGATGGGAACAATATCAGGCGTCATCGAGGAATTGATCTTTTCTCAGTCGGATCGGCAATACCGTATTGCCGATCCGAACTGACAAGAGATCAGAATTCCTATAATTATACGGGACTTATTTCGTTAAATAGCGCATCTGTTTCGTAATCGTTCAAATGAGAACACTTATAAATGCTAACAAAAGTAACGAGATCCCACTGATCCCACTGATCTCACAGATTTCCGTTGGAGCATAACAAGAAATTCAGCCAGTAGAAAAAGGACGCAGAACTTCTGAACCGAAATTAGACGCATTTGTAATGGTTAATTTATGCATATTGTGGACCGCCGGTACAAGGATTTTGCAGTTTTCAAGGAGATTATTTCTCGGTCGGATCAGTAACGGACTGGATGATATTGCGGAAAGCTTTATCGCGGTGAGATTTTTAATTACTGTAGTTAGCTGATTAACCAAATGGACATTGGATAATTAAGAAGTGAGCCATTAACTGGAGCAGGAAAATTGGAAAGTTATTTCCAATTATTATTTATTGTTTTTCAGCTGAAGTACACACATGAAGTTACACGCACTTACCCTCCATGCTTGCAAGCCCAATGCTTACAGCCCACAAACTGGTTAATTACCACTTAACTTCGCACACCATTGCTCATATTACCATACATACGTTAAGTTTTGTCCCAACTCATGCTCACTCTCTATAAGGCGGATGACAGAATCTCACGAAGTCTGTCGTCACGGGAGGGTACTGAAAACTTCACGGTACGACACTTGGGTAAACATAAAAATTAGAAAAAACCTTCGTATCCTGAATCACCTAAGTAAGGATAACCTGAGAATACCTATGAAAACAAAAGAAAATCTAAGAAAACCTAAGACGACCTAAGAAACCTAAGAAAACCTAAGAAAGGAAAGAACTCAAAAAACCTAAAGGAAAGAAACTCAAAAAACCTAAATAAACCTAAGAAACCTAAGAAACCCTAACAAACCTAAATAACCTAAGAAAACATAAGGAAACATAGGAAAACCTAGAAAACGTTGGAAACCCAAGAAAACCTGTGATGGTCGAAACATCCAGTTGCCGAAATGAGCGTTGGCCGAATTGAGTGTTGGCCGAAGTGAGCCACGGCCGAAATGAACGCTGGCCGAAGTGAACCTGTGCGGCCGAAATGTAGCGCGGCCGAAGTGATCGGACGCGATAAAAATGACGAGTTCGAACTTATGCAACGGCGCCATTGGGGCGGGCGTTGTGAGCTTACCGACCAAGCTGGAATCGCAATGATTTTACAGGGCTGGGGAAAGTTCTCGTTTGCCGATTTCTGCTTACCGATATACACCTTCTGTTTAATCTTGTCAATGCAGAGGGAACGCGACGATATCCCGGAGAAGTCCGCTCTTTCCGAAAAAGCTGACCGCATACCCAGATTCTGCAGTGTGCTATCCAGGTCGATGTTGTGTTCAATGCAAAACTTTGGTAATTGTATGGTTCCGTAAGAGATTGGCTGGAGAGAATCCAGAGCTCTTTGCAACAATGAGGGCGTCAAGGCTCTCTGCAGGTCCGACAGCGCTGAACCAGGTGTCCACGTGGCTGAAAAGGCATTCTTTCCCGGGAGAATGAAACACGCGCTGGAGTGTTCGTCACCGTACCACAACTGCAGAAAGCGCGCTCCTCCCAGTTCCTTACTCTCGTAATACCCACACCGCGTCAACACATGCATGGTATCCACCATCACCTGGCCGCCATCGGTCAGGGTGAAAGGTTTCTTCACCGTGTGCTCCTCAAAAAATCGATGATCTCATTCCGCTTCAAAGTACACCGAACTAATCAGTATGAATGCGGTATCTTTGTCTATGTCGGAAAGAGCCAGTGTATCGCGAATAGTTCCGGATGTGTGATTCTCCACAAATTCATTGATGCGTTGAACAGCTTCAGAGGGTGCGGTGCGGAAGCGAACAGGTTGGCATACGGTGTTAAATAATGTGCGGAGAGTGTCGGTGTAATCGGCGTTGGGAGGATAATCTTCTTCAATAAATTCTGCTGTGGTTAGGAGTAGTCTGCAGTTTTGAACAGGAGCTGTAAAAGCATGAAAGGTTCTCAAAATACGAACAGAAGTAAATTATTGATAGAAGTAAATCATTAAGAAAATCTGGAAAAATACAATTCGGGGGCGCTTGGTTTTGATCCGCATTCCTTTTCATCTCGGTCAGCAAAGCACAAAAATCGTCCACAGTGTAGTCTTTGCCTAATCCCAGTAAATCCGCCATTTGTGGGCGAGTCTCTCCTTTTGCACCAACATAACCCATGAGAACGGCGAACTCCGCACAGATCGGAGACCACAGCGAATTTCCTCCGCACGATCGCTGCCCACATAAGCTATTATAGGCAGTCACACAAAAGTCTAAACGGTACCTATTATCCATCTATTTGCCTGATTCTCGTTCTGGAATGAAGCAGTACCGTGAATTAAGCAAAAGATCAGTTTCAAGAGTCTTTAATATCACATATCGAAAAACTTTTACTGCTTCAAAATGGCCCGCGCTCAAGCTCTGACTCAGACTCTGACCGCTCAAACTCTGACTCTGACTACTCAAAGTCTGACTCTGACTGTCTAAACTCTGACTCTGACTGACTAACGAAAGAATAATTTAAGAAACCTAAGAAACCTAAGAAAACTAAAAAACCTAAGAAACCTAAGAAACCTATTAAGAAACCTAAGAAACCTTCAGAGTCAGACTTTGAGCGGTCACAGTCAGACTTTGAGTAGTCAGAATCAGAGTCAGAATTGGAGTCTAGGCCATTCTGGTTAATGGCTACCGTCCCTTTTGTTCAGTAAACTGGATTTTCGGGTAGCCTATTAGGCTTTACACGATTCTGTTCCGTGACCAGTCGATAGCACTGAATAGTGGTCAGTTGTACTTGTAAGTACTTAAGTTGTAAAGAGCGGTTCAGCAATTCTTACTATAATCACTGAACAATAATACCCTATTAACTGCAGATTTAGTATCCGCATCAAAAGTTGGCGGTAGTAATTAACCAGCTCCAGGACGGCGACACACCTTCTGAAGTTCGGACTAAATACATATTAGTATGATATCACCAGAGACTCAGAAATGTATATAATCATTCTACAAGGAAAGGTTTCGTCACTATCGTGTTGGCATTTCCTGTGGACTGTGGTCGGTGAAAGCTTTGATACTGCTTTAATAAATTTTAAAAACGTAGCTGATGCTTGAAGCTCTGACTGAGGTCTAATGTGGAAAGATTCGAATTTTAACACGATCAAAGGTCAGTTACATATAACTCATCTTAACGAACCGGGGACCCTACGAAGCAGCGACGAAACTCATTAACAGGAAAC